ATGCAGATCAGAGGCGAAAACACATTCCTAATATTACCAGACGATTGATCGGAAGAAAAAAAATGAATATTATATTTTAAAAAGATACATATAAATCCTCTGCGAATTATTATGGAAATTTTCTGTGACGTACCGAAAATAAACCCCTAATGACTGATTTTCATGAATCTAAAAAAAAAAAAACAAAAAAAAAAAAATAGATACTCGATTATTTCATTTTCAAAAATTAATTTTGATTCTCTGATTGTCTATGATATGATTATTTTCTTAATCTAATTTATTATTAATTGTTTAATTTATTCATTATATTATTTATATATTTATTCTTTTCCTTCCACGCTTTAATATTTCTTTTAATGATGAAAAACGAAGGAATTAAACTATCTTTTCTCTTTCTTGGTTAAAACAATCTTATTTTAGTTAACAAAACGAAAAAGAAACTCGGAATATCTCGGTAGTTTCTTCCTGTAGTAAAGATAAAAAGCGAGGGTTTCCGAATATACACGATAAACGCAAAACACGATACACGATAGAACCTGATAAACGATCTACACGATAAACGCAAAACACGATAAACGCAAAACACGATAGAAAACGCATAACACGATAAACGGAAAACACGATACGATAGGATACACGCACGATACGATAGGATACACGCACGATACGATAGGATACACGCACGATAGGACACGATAGATTTGTAAAGAATAACGATGCGGGTACTGTAACGTTCATTTCACATATTATTGGAGAGTCCCCTCCACCTCAGTTCATTACCATTCTTTTGTGCTGTTTCGCTGAAATTGACACCGGTCGTAGCCTAGTTACTTCTACCTGTGTGCAAGGGTACAGACAAAAAAATATAAGAGTCAGACGTATTTTGCTATGATCTAACAAATGCTCGTGTTTGGCCATTGAAACTTAACATAAATCTATTCCGAATATATCTATCGACAGTCTTGTTAACAATTTCATTTAGTTTGTTGCAACATCGTTTTTCAAAACACAAACATACGTGCTTTTCAGCAGATCTGGAAAAATATAACCCAAAATGCAATGGTTCAAACAAAACTGAGTATTGTGTGCCTTTCAGTATTTGAAATGTACGTGACCGTCTTGTGTTCTGGGTTTATTTGTTTTGTTTCTTTTTCTTCTTTCTTTTTTTCTTTTACCAATTATAAGCCTATGCATACCTTGTTTTAAATTATCAACAACAATTAAATTAATATTGACGAAAAGGCGCATATTAAAAGTAAACAAACTGCAGAAAGGTTGCCAAAATGAATTTAAGACACTTAAAAATAAATTTTCTAGCATGTGGTAACAGTCTAAAACATTTACGAGGATTGGGGGTGCATTTAGATGGATTTATGTGGCCAGTTGTCAAATGGATTGTAACGATAATTTTGTTTCGCTCGTGTAAACGCAATTCATTGACTAAATAAAAAACAAGAGGCCCATGGGCCACATCGCTCACCTGAGAAGCTTTGGCCATTCTGTTCTTTACCAGATTTCCCCTTTGTAATACATATTGTGACCCCACCCTACCCCACTGATCATAATTCAAACAATTTGAAATCTACACTACCCCAGTATGCTTCCACATAAGTTTCAGCTTTTCTGGCCCACTGGTTCTTGAGAAGAAGATTTTCAAAGATTTTTCCTATATACTCCTATGTAAAATTTTGATGGGCAATTGTGTCCCCACCCTACCCCCGGGGGTTATGATTAGAATAATTTAGAATCTACACTTACCCAGGATGCTTCCACATAAGTTTCAGCTTTTCTGGCACACTGGTTCTTGAAAAGGAGATTTTCAAAGATTTTTCCTATAAATTTCTATGTAAAACTTTGATTCCCCATTGTGGCCTCGCCCTACCCCCAGGGGTCATGAATTGAACAATTTAGAATCTACACTATCCCAGGATGCTTTCACATAAGTTTCAGCTTATCTGACCCAGTGGTTCTTGAGAAGGAGATTTTCAAAGATTTTTCCTATATATTTCTATGTAAAACTTTGATTCCCCATTGTGACCCCGCCCAACTCCTGGGGGTCATGATTTGTACAATTTAGAATCTACACTACCCCAGAATGCTTCCACATAAGTTTCAGCTTTTCTGGCCGAGTGGTTCTTGAGAAGAAGATTTTCAAAGATTTTTCCTATATATTTCTATGTAAAACATTGATTCCCCATTGTGGCCCCGCCCTTTCCCCGGGGGTCATGAATAGAAAAATTTAGAATCTACACTACCCAAGTATGCTTCACCATAAGTTTCAACTTTACTGACCCAGTGGTTCTTGAGAAGAAGATTTTCAAAGATTTTTCCTATATATTTTTATGTAAAAATTTGATTCACCATTGTCACCCCGCCCTACCCTTGGGGGTCATGATTTGTACAATTTAGAATCTACACTACCTCAGAATGCTTCCACGTAAGTTTCAACCTTTTTGGCCCAGTGATTCTTGAGAAGAAGGTTTTTAAAGATTTTTCCTATATATTTCCATGTAAAACTTTGATTCCCCATTGTGGCCCCGCCCTTTCCCCGGGGGTCATGAATAGAAAAATTTAGAATCTACACTACCCAAGTATGCTTCACCATAAGTTTCAACTTTACTGACCCAGTGGTTCTTGAGAAGAAGATTTTCAAAGATTTTTCCTATATATTTTTATGTAAAAATTTGATTCACCATTGTCACCCCGCCCTACCCTTGGGGGTCATGATTTGTACAATTTAGAATCTACACTACCTCAGAATGCTTCCACGTAAGTTTCAACTTTTTTGGCCCAGTGATTCTTGAGAAGAAGGTTTTTAAAGATTTTTCCTATATATTTCCATGTAAAACTTTGATTCCCCATTGTGGCCCCGCCCTTTCCCCGGGGGTTATGATTTGAACAATTTAGAATCTACACTACCCCAGGATGCTTCCACCTAAGTTTCAGTTTTAGTGGAGCAGTGCTTCTTGAGAAGAAGATTTTTTAATGACCCAACCCTATTTTTATCTTTTCTTGATTATCTCCCCTTTTAAGGTGACATGGCCCTTCGTTTTAACAACGTATATTTCCCTTCATCCAAGGATGCTTCGTACCAAGTTTGGTCAAAATTGGCCCAGTGGTTCTTGAGAAGAAGTCGAAAATGTGAAAAGTTTACAGACGGACGGACAGACAGACGGACGGACGACGAACAAAATGTGATCAGAAAAGCTCACTTGAGCTTTCGGCTCAGGTGAGCTAAAAATGTCAGTTAGAAATACGTAAAATGTACGTTACCATACGTAACGTACATTTCAAATATAAAAAATCAATTCTCTTCCACAAGCGTACGTTAGACACACAATATATTGATACTATTTGAACTTGCATATCATAAGAAATGCATCATACAGGTTCGTTTTCAGAAATATAAACCAGCTATCAAAATTATATTACATATAATTGACCTTCATATATTTTTTTTTCCTCAGCAGAAACGTTTCTTTTCATTAATTTTCGGATTTAGCCGACCTCCAACCTTTGAAACTTTCCTTTGTGTACATATTCGAGTGTGTGAAAGTATGAGAATACATGAAAATTCGTGCGAGATTCACTTAATTCCAATTTCATGGTAATGTACATTTCAGTCACCTACATGGAAATGATCACTTTTCATGTAAAAAAATAATTTTTAATTGTGTTTAGCAAAACGTCTTTGCCAGTTTACAGGATACAAGGAGTTGCTTATTCAGAGTCGTCTCATATTTTCTACTTAATATATTTTCTTAATGGAAGAATATAGGTAACGTACCTTTCTTTCTTATCTCTACGATTGAAAATGTCTTTCATTCCGTAAACATATTTATAAAAGTTGATCAAATTGTTCAATTTCATGTTACATTATCTAAGTAGGAGTAATTAATCCTTTGAAATTTCAAATTTAGCCCATCAATAAATAAAGGAGAACAAAACTCTCAGCTGTATAATCTTTGTGTTTGCTTGTAATGTGGTTGAAATAGAATTAAGCGACAGGGACATTGCACGATAAAAATTATTTATTATCACAAAGAAAATGTATTTATTGTTATGAAAAGAAATATATATGATACAAGGTTTAACTTATCAGAAAATTTTTACTTGAGAGTCAAAACTACATATTACACAGAGGGGATTCAGAATAATATTTGCCTCGTCGACAGTAACGTACATTTCAAATAGGCTACTATATTTGAATTTGGAACTCCTTAAATACCCTTTCAGATCGATAATTATATGAATTCTTATTCATTGTTTTATGACTATTGATAATGTTGATTTAAAAATTACATCAGTGGTATATCTTTCAAATGAAAATGAGGCGACATTATTTGAGCCCTTATATTGAGATTGGGTGTCAAGTTCAAGGTCTTACAGAATCAGGCCAAGGTCACAGAGGAGAGGATGTTTGATGAAAACAAGAGACTGCAAACTGAACTCGCCAATCTCAGGTGAAAGGCATTTATAAACTGAAGATTTTGAAATTAATTATTGTGGTATTGTTCGAAATTGTTGAATTTTTTTGCCTGCAGATTAATCCAAAAATTGTGATTCTGCGGAATTATGACCATTTGAATAAGTATGTTTCCAATAAATCTTTTTACTTTTTGTCTTTTTTAAATGTATAGACAGTTCTTTAAAGTAAAGACAACATAATTATTTACAAGATATAAATAACAGGGAAAAGACTGGTGATGTTGAAGATGTTCCTCTGACAAAAGCCAGAGCCATAAAGCCAGACAAGGCAGCCCCTGATATAGACACATCCCTGGGGGTCGGGCAGATAGCAGAACTAGAGGCTGAGTAAGGGGAGCTCAAGGTTTGTCTTATTCTGGTGTCAGTGGTCAAAAATAAAACAAATAAAGTTTTTAAATTCTTTAAGATGTAACTGTTCCTTGTGTGTTATAAAAATGTACAATTGTAAAGCTGTCTTCAATCAATTTTGAACAGAGAAGAGAGACAGTCATATAAAACGTGAGCTAGAGATCTTACAGAGTACTAAAATAGAGTTAGACCAACAGATGGATAAACTGATCAAGGAAAGAGAACTCTTACAAGAAACATTAGAGAAAGCTTCATATCCAGAGGATGTCAGAGTAAGCCACAGTTATCTTCCCTTGATGACATTTTTTTTGTATTTATCAGATAAAAACAATAATGTGCAGAAAATACATGAACATAGTCTAAGAATGCATCATACTCCAATATATTTGGCAATATTCAAGACTTTTTAGAATGGCATTTTCATGGGTTGTCATTGGGTATTACTGGTTTGTAAATCACATTGACTTATCACATAGGAATGTTTTTCTGAAGCTTGGCTAGCACTATAACTTACATCTGTTTCATATTATTCTTTTCAAATTTTTACTTTATCCTTTGGAACTTTTTTATATTTCCAGCATTGTGTTTGATCTGTATTGAATAATTTATTGCAGTGAGGGAGAGTGTTGCCTTCAGGAAATATGATTTTTCACGGGCTAAGAAAACTTCATATCTCCCTCTGACACAATCATGCAATAAATGTTTAATGTATCCGATGATTAGAACATAATTGTAATATCCCTGCCTTCTCCTCTTTTACTGATAGCTGACCTATGCATATACATGAAGTCTGTAGATGTTTTTTAAAGCAAGATATAAGCTACATATATATTCTTTACTTTACTGTAGAGATTAGAAGACAGATATAAAGAGGAAATAGAGAGACTTAACAAGAAGTTAAAGTGGTATGCTGAAAACCAGAAAATGTTGGACCAAGACACCAAGAAAATGAAAGCTAAAGAAGAGGAGATTACTAAGCCAAAGTCTAGGATACAAGAACTTCAGTCTGAGGTGAGTAAACTGAACTCTGTACCAAATGTAACCCCCTCCCCCAACACACGCACACTCACACACACACACACACACACACACACACACACACACACACACCCTCACACACACAAAGTCAATGGTGGAAGAAGCACAGTAGAATAAAGAAAACATTGTTATCTAAATACATAAAGGTACCATACATGTATCATGTGTATAGGCAATGAAATGTACTTTGGAATTGTTCATTCACTCTTCATAAGGCCAACAATAAAGTATGATTTGTTTATTGCATGCATCCCCCCCCCCCCCGATTCTTTAATTTTATTTATTATTTGTAGGGGAAAAATAGATTGTATATCATTTTTAAAGCTTAGGTTTCATCATTTACCACAGTAGATTTCAATTTTTCAAAACATTTAATATCAATTAAATCTGTTAAGCTGTTCTGTATATACTGTATAAACCTGTAAAGAAAATGTAATGGAATTTGTAAGTATTTCAAAATTTTATAAAACCTACCAATCTTTAAAACATAAAAATGTTGGGGTCAAAGTACATGAATCATTCAAATATTTTTTTATGGTTGACTAAGAATTCATTAATAAGCATTTGAAAAATGGAAAAAAAACTAATTCTGTTAAAACTTTATTGATGTATGATAAGCCAGTAGAATTATCATATGAGACATTCCTACATATCTTACATTGATTGTAAATACCGGGTATACTCTACATTTGTTGAATCAATTGATGCAAATTAAGGTATTACATGTATTAGCTTCTTCTATTTACGAGAATCACATCTCCATCAAAGACACATTCTGTAGTAAGAAGCACCATTTTTAATCACAAACAGACATGGTTAAATATTGTTTACATGTATTTGATTTTCTTCACATTTCTAGTGACATGCTCAGCCACAAAGAGGTTGTCTCTGGTATCTACACATAAACCATATGGACGCTCTAGATTAAAGTTATCAATGTATCGGAGGAACTGTCCGTCCTGATCTAGGATGTGGATACGGTTATAGAGACAGTCTGCTGTCAGGATCTGACTCTGGCTGTCTGTTGTGATGCCAACTGGATCAAATGATTCATCGTTAGTAGAGGGATGACCAGTGTATTTAAATCGGAGTTTTCCTGCCTGATTAACCACCACCACTGCACAGGCTCCACTATCAGCCACACAGATATCCAGGTTCCTATTCTCACTGATGTATTTAATGTTATCAGTTGAATACAGAGGGCTACCTTCACTATCAAAATGAATGGTTTGTTTCTCTTTGGAGCCAGAGTAACGGACAACTTTTAATTCTTTGATATCATCATTGTACATGGTAATTAGGAGGTCACCAGAGGAGGTACTACAGGCATTGTAAGGTCTCCACCCCTGTAGTCTGATCACTTCCTGTACCTGGTCATGTTTCACTATGTTTACAGTTCTTGTACCAGGGTCTGTATAAACTAGGTCTCCACTCCTTGTCACTGCTATATCATGTGGTCTGTTCCCTGACTTGGTTTTTATCGACTTCAGTAGTTTGCCCTTGAGGTTGTAGAGTTTCAAAGTTTTGTCATCTTCAGGTATCCAGATTTCTTCATCACTGAGACAGGTAACACTCTCTAGATAATTATACTCAGTATCTATGGTGGTGATGAGCTTTGGTTCATCAAGCAGTGGTTTGACTGGAGGACAGGGTACAGCTTCTGGTGTCTTCATTGTGTAGCCATGTTCTTCTGTTGTAATGGATAATGCTGACAAAGAACCAAACATTTGATGGAGTTGTTCTGTGTTAATCTGATGAGGAGAGAAACTTGGTAATGAAGCATTGATTTTAGGAGGTAAACTTCTGAATTCAGCATTCCTGGATTTATATGCAGAGGAAAGGGAGACATCATTGGAATCCAGTATTTTCTTCAGATCAAGTATATGTTGTTTTGCTTCAGAATTTATTTGTTTGATTTCTTTTTCCTGTTTATTTAGAGCAGCCAGGTGTTTAGTTCTCATCTCATCAATTTCAAATTTCTGTTTGTTAACAATGAAATTAATTTCTCTGTGCCAATCTTCTCCTTGTTTGTTGACAGCTGTTGTCAGTTTCTCAAAATGTTTTTCAAGGTCTGTTTTTTTTTCTCCATATCTCTGCAGAAATTTTTTCATATTTAGGGCATATCAATTTCACCAATTCGTTTACATCTTTTTCTATGGCCTCTTGTCTCGGTATATTTTCCTCCAGTAAATTCAATAAATTATGTCCTTTGTGAATGTTGGATGAAAGACAGAGTGAACAAACAGGAAGGTCACATTCCTTGCAGTGAAGTTCACAAAGTTTTCCAGCATGAGTTAGACATTTAGGTGTAGTTCCCCTTTGTTTGTATGGTACCACTTTATGTTCTTTAGATAAATCAGAGAGATGCTCCCCTACACAGGCTTTACAGAGTTTGACATGACAAAAGTCACAGTACTTTGGAGGAACAGGAGTCTCACACAGGTCACAGCGTAGGACATCTTGGGCACTGAACACTGGGTCCATTGGGAAGGCTTAGGAAGCTGTATGCCTAGGGAAAATGTGAATTTGAATGATAAGAGAAAACAACTAATTAAACTGTTGTGAAATTAAGTAAAACCAGATCATTTTCTATTTAGAAAAGCTAGAGTAAAACTCCTGTTTGAAAATCCTTAGGACATGGCCAATAATAAATGTGATACTAGTATATTGGAGATGAAAAAAATTGCAATTTGAAAAAAATCAAGACTAGCACAAATTTTAATAATGTTTTTAATCTGATTTGCTCCTGATTACAACAGTCAAAATGTATATGTATGGTCATTTATATAAATCTTAAATCTAAAGAATCTTTTTTAAAAAGGGGGATAATACAAAAAATGAGGGCAACATCAAAAGGAAAAAAAAACACTTTCATTGCAGTTTTTTAAAAAAAAAATACATCTGATCAGACATCAATCGAAATTAAACTCAATCTTACGTTTTAAGGCCGGTATACATGATGAGATTTGTAGTATAATGCAAGTATTATAATACTTTTGAATTATAATACTTTCCTGTACTCACGCTAATACATATCTTATAAGATTGTAAATAAACTACGTATTCCGACGTGTTTTCCCCACCGTATTTCTCCCTCTGTCAAAGTAATAAAAGTGGAGGATGAGGCTCTGTTAGCAGTGTCAATCATCGTACTATGCACTGCTTGATTATTCTACAATTCCTTTTCCCCTTCCCATTAAGCCACAAGTTTTTCGATGTCTTTACTTGTAAAGTCGACCATTATTATTTACCATGTGCTTTTTTAGTAATGAGAAAAATAGGATGACCCTTAGTGTCATTGCATTTCATTCGTTGAAAGTGATAGAAAAGTTAAGACTTGTATTAGGAAATAGAGCATTGTTCTATTCTTAATACAGTTTTATAAGATTCGAAAAATCTTATGATACACTGTATTAAGAGTGTATACACAGTAAGATTTTGTAATATAATACAAATCTTATAATACAAATCTTACCGTGTATACCGGCCTTTATAGAGAAGTAAGTTTTCCAACATGGCTGTTATATGTTTATCTGCTAGACTGGCTTGCCTGTCTGATATCCGATATACAGTCTATTTATCTGCCTGTGGGTTTCTGGTCTATTTATAAGCCTCTCAAATAATGATTTAAATGCCTGAAGGTAAAGGCCAGTGTATAAAATGATCTATGTGACACAATTTAAATCAAAATTAATGTTTTTAAATGAACTAACGATTTAAATTTCATTTACTATTGTCATTTGATTGATGATTCTGATTTAACTTTTGCTTGAAATTTTCATCCAAGTGAATTGAAAATCATATATTACCCCACATGCTTCTATGGTGTAATTTTATCAAAAGTTTTGGTCCCATTTCTACAGTCTGAGTCATTCAGAAGAAAGGTCGATACTATTCTATTGGAAGCAAATACATTTTGCACTCATCCTACATATTGTAGAACTGGGTGCATCTGTTTTCATTCATAGTAACCTGATTTTGGTTTTTTAAATAGGTTGGAGAGAATACTCGAAATCAGGTATTATCCGTGAAATCGCGTAAAACACTGTATAATACCTGATATTAGGGTATCGTTAAATCCACGAAATCGGGTATTCCGTGCAACTTTCTATAAAAACAAAAGAAAAAAGCTACAGGGCATAATGCCTGTTACTGTAACTTGTACATCAATATCTTGGGGATTTATTTTTATTAAACCTAATTTATATGGTTGTCAAATAAGTTTAAAATCACACGACAAACACTGCTGCGGTAACATAGAAAACATAATTGCATTATTTTTAGCTCACCTGAGCTGAAAGCTCAAGTGAGCTTTTCTGATCACATTTTGTCCGGCGTCCGTCTGTCTGTCTGTCTGTAAACTTTTCACATTTTCGAACCGCTGGGCCAATGACAACCAAACTTGCCACAAAGTATCTTTGGGTGAAGGGAATTAAAGTTTTTTTTTTCAAATGAAGGGCCACGCCCTCATTCAAGGGGAGATAATTGGGAATTAATGAAAATTTGATGGCATATTTTAAAAATCTTCCTTTCAAGAACCACTGTGCCAGGAAAGATTAAACTTATGGGGAAACATCCTCAGTAGTGTAGATTCAAGTTTGTTCAAATCATGAACCCCGGGGGTAGGGCGGGGCCAAAATGGCCGACCTAAGTTTTACATAGAAATATATAGGAAAATTCTTTGAAAATCTTCTTCTCAAGAATGACAAAGGCATAATTCATCATATTTATATGGAAGCATGCTCAGGTAGTGTAGATTCAAGTTTGTTCAAATCATGACCCCCGGGGGTAGGGCGGGGCCAAAATGGCCGACCTAAGTTTTACATAGAAATATATAGGAAAATTCTTTAAAAATCTTCTTCTCAAGAATGACAAAGGCATAATTCATCATATTTATATGGAAGCATGCTCAGGTAGTGTAGATTCAAGTTTGTTCAAATCATGACCCCCGGGGTAGGGCGGGGCAAAAATGGCCGACCTAAGTTTTACATAGAAATATGAGCCTCGTCGGATAGAAATCGACCTTATGGCAAAATTTATCGAATTTGAGATTTTTGTGTTTTTAATGGTACATGTAAAACCATTACAAAAACTGAACACGGAATCTAAATATCTTCATTTATAACAAAGTCATTACATTTTGAAATTGGTATGTTTGCAATATTAACTCTGAGCATATCGTGGTTTTATCACGATTCAATTGTGACGTCATAGTTTATTCTCCGTTAGTAGTATAAGGATCCTAGCTAGGGCGGAAGTGACGTCATAACCGGAAGTGGGCTAACCGGAAGTGGACGGAAGTGGGCTAGCCGGAAGCGGAAGTGGTCTAGCGGAAGTGGGCCCTAGCGGAAGTGGGCTAGCCGGAAGCTGACTGGATGACCGGGTCAACTGAGTGCAGTCCTATCCCTAACCCCCTAGCCCCCTAACCCTAACCCTAGCCCTAACCCTAACCCTAACCTAACCCTAACTAACCCTAACCCCCTAGCCCTAACTAACCCTAACCCTAACCCTAACCCTATCCCGCAGTACAGTTAAGGTGCGCAATGGAAATATCGACTTAATTTTGTATTTAAAAATGTATTCGTAATCGGGATGGCGATTATTTTTAGTACATTATTTATATCGGATAATTGTAATTATGATTAATTACTACATATCGAGGACGATTATATTTTATATTAAGACTAGTCACGTGATGCGGCAGGCACGCGATTTTAGCACATTGACTTGCAGTATTGATGTTACATATAAATATCACTAGTGCAAGGGCATAACCAAGTTAAATTTCAAAGTTTAGTTT